GGGAAGGGAAGGGAAGGGAAGGGAAAATAGCACATTGCAGCAGGTGCTGAGCCGTGGTTGGGGACAGCAGGGATAACGGCTGGCTTCCCCCCGGCTCAATGCCTGACTTCTCATAGTACGAAACACGGAATCATTGAAAGGCTTGGAAGGGGCCTTACAAATCAAGCGTGTGCAACCTGCCCAACATGTGGGACCTCCCAGTGTGTGCAGGCTCTGCCCAAAGTGTGGGACCTGCCCGATGCGGCCAGAGGAGTTTTGGGCTTGCAGCAGAAAGCCTGAGGGATGCGCGGGTGGGAGGAGCGCTGGAGGGTCCCTGCCAGCTGCAAGCACTCCAGCTCCAGCCGCCTGCGAACATCTGGCTGATTGCAGCCGAGCACAGAAGAGCCAGGAGATAGCAGGCTGTGCTCGGAGAGGGGCAGAGCCACGGTGAATAGCGCATCAGGACGCTATAGAAATCAGCGTCGGGCCCTCAGCCTGAGTGAAAGGCAGGAGGAGAACCCAGGAGGCGGCAGCGGTGCCAAGAGATGGTGGAGAAGTGCCAAGGCGTGCGCCGTGTCCGGGTCAGACAGGTGCTGCTCCTCCAGGCGGGCACAAAGGGACATTCAGAGCTCTCCAAGAGGAACCTTTTCCAGCGATAAAAGGAAACGCTTCCTTGCACCGCACGTAATTAACTCGTAGAGCTCGTGCTACGAGACACCATGGCAAGGACCCAACAGGATTAGATGGGCCCGTGAATGAGAACATCTGTAGTTACATTAGCTGGGATTAATATCTATACGGATATAGGCGCTCCTCGCCAGCTCCTCTCTGCCTGCAGCTAGGAGGAGATTTCCCCTGTGGGTGTGCTGGTGCAGGACTGGAGGGCTGGGACCTTGTCTGGGGCTGCAGGACGAACCACTGCTCCTCGTGCAGAGCTGCTGAGACAGACCGTCACCCACCAGAGCATCAGCAATATCAGGATTTGGGATTTGGGACTGAGAAAATGGGCGGGAAGTCTTCAGACTGTGCACGAAAGGATGTAAAATGCCCTGGCAAAATGTTGGAACTTGTTGGGATATCTCCGGCCCACCAAAGGCAGACAAGTAGCATGACAAAAATGCAAGCATTTTTCCAGCCCAGAATGCTGCTCAGAGGCACTGCCAGCTGCTAATCTTCCCCACACAGTGTGCTGAAAGGCAAACAGAGGCACAAAGCTCTGAGCTTAGCTCCCCTCAGGTGTGACCGTGGTGATCTGAAAGGACCGCCCTGCTGGAGAATCAGTATCTTCCTGCTTTCCAGGCAGGTTTGTCCTGGGGAAGCTGTCAGAACAATGAAATCCCATTTGAGTGAACAACAGAAGGTGTGATCTCAACTCTTGTCACACTTACTCATGCCATGGGGAAGAGAAAGCCGTACACCTGATGTGCCTCCAGCCAGCCTGGCTCGGCTCTACCCAGCCTTTTGCTGACCAGAAGCAGAGGTTGAAACGTTTCCTCTGTTAACTCTGAACCCTAATGACGGCTTTCAAGATGTGCTGTGCACAGTTTTGCAAGGAGATCGCTGCCTTGCCTGCAGTACTGTGAGCTGTATTTAGTTTGCCAAGGGATCGTGTTCGTGCAGCGTGCTCCTCATCACATTCTCCTGGAGATTTAAAGCCTTTCTCACCGCCAGCACATAAATTCCCTCTTTTATCAGACAAAGACAAATAATCTCCTGGCATTTCGGCGTCTGCCTTCCCGTACTGCTTCTCAGGGCTCTCCCATTTCCTCCTCCTGAGCTGGCACCTGGAGAAGCCAAGGGCTGGTAAGAGCTCCTGTTAAGAGCTGCTGGAATTCCCTCCTTGTCTATGAGCTCCACTGTTTGAGCACATCATGAAGTGATGGCAGAGAGCTGCTGGGGATGCTGAGACCTGCAGGGGCAGAACATCACCGCCTCCTTCTTCTGGCTTTGTTGGAAAACGTGGTTGTTTTGGGTTTTTTTTTTCCACTGAAAAATGTCAATTTTGATCAAAGACACCCAGGGGCAGGTGTGGGCAGGCAGAGAGGAGCAGGCACAGGACCTCGTGGCTCTGAAATAATGTAGAGCTGAGCCTGCTCCTGTGGGAGAAATTGCTTCTTGCAGAGTTCAAGGGTCACTTACAGGAGAGAGAGCAGATTGGAAACTACTTTCACTGAGGAAAAAAAAGTCAGACTCTCCTCCTGATGCGTTTTTAGCTTGGCCCCTGGGAACTGAGGTTCCTGCAGGTGGATTCTCCCACAAATAAACCTCCAATCAAATCTGGCAGTGGAGCCAAAGCCTCAGAGCTGACCATCTTGCCGTGAGCTCATGGCACAGGCAGCAGGTGAGCACAGAGCTCAGCACAGGGATGCGAGGGCAATGGGACACCCATCATGGGAGGAGATTGCGGCGATGCACGCTTGGTTCCGGAGGGAAGAGTGAGCCTGTGGAGAAATTAAGCTCTGTGTTGGGCAGATCAGTACTGTGGGAGTTCAGGATTTCTCCGGGGCTGCGATCACTCAGTGACAACCCAGCCCTGATGCAAGAATTTGATTCCGGCCCACCAGCACCAGGGGTTGGCTCATCTCACAAAGGGGCACCAGCTGGTCTTCAAGGAGGAAAAAAAGTTGAAGAGAAGGAAGCTGGAAAATCACAGACAACTCCCTGGAGGGAATCTGTAGAAAGTCCTGCATTGGACATGGCCTTGTGAAGCCATGGATGGGCTGGGATAGAGATAAGCATCAACAAGAAGTGGTTGGGGGAAAAGAACCACCTCTCTTTGGAAGCACCTCGCCTCCTAAGGTGGACAGCAAGGGCAGATCTCCTGCACTGCTATCTAGCATCCTAACCCTAATCCTAACCATAATCCTAAATCCAACCCCAGCCCTAACACTAATCCTAACTTTAACTCCAACCCCAACCCTGAACCTAACCGTAATCCTAACCCTGCAGCTCTGTGGGAAACCAGTGGAACCCATCAAGCAGAGGGAGTTGCTGTGGACTAGGGAGGAACAGAGCCAGGAGCCACCTCTGGGGGCCATGCACAGGGACCCTCCCAGCCAGCATCTCCGTGTCTTTGAGATGTGCCAGCCATGAGATGTCTAAGCTCTGCCCAGATGTGCATCAGAGACCAAGGTGGCAGGGATGTCCGTAGGACTTGAGGGGTGCTGCTGGCCACCAAAGCCTGCAGAGATGGACTTGGTATTGACAGAAAGGAAGCAAGGGCTGCTCCTTGTGTCCTACCCTGGGACACAGATGTTGGGACAAAAGCGATGGGACACCAGTGATGGGACACCAGTGATGGGACACCAGTGATGGGACACCACTTGGCAGCAAGCCCATCTTCAGCCTCTGCCCTAACTGGGGTTAACCCAACACCTCCTGCACCCCAGCATCCCGGGGGGAGGACTCTGCAAGGGCTCATCTCCTCCAGTTTGGCCCCAGTAGATGCTCTCTGAGCTCTAATCTGGTCCCGCAGCTCCCTCTATAGTCGATGGGGAGGGATGGGGCACACGGCCCACTGTCCCTGCCACCAAGGGCTCCGTTCCCCCTCCTTTAGAAACCAAATCCTGCCTTCCTCCCGGGTGTGCCCATAACACCTCTCATTTGTCATCATTTCTCTTCAAAAACCATGCACATCCATCCCTGAAAATGTAGGGCTGTTTTATGGCCAGGCTGTAAAACCTCATGGAGTTCTGTTCCAAGAAGATGACATCAGTGCCAATAATCTGTCCGTTACCAGGGCTGGGTTTAATCCCATGAGTTGACAGGGCACTGATCTGCTGTGGGAGGAGCAGGTGGAGGTTGGGAAGAGCCAGATGTGGGGTTCCACCATCAGCACCAATGGGAAAAGAAGAAAACACGACAAATGAGAAGCATGGGTTGGAGCTTTGGGAGCTGTTCATGCTCTTGCAAAAATCACTGAGAAAGGAGGGAAAATTGCACTTGTTATGAGTTTTGGCAAGATGAACATTTGAGATTTGTGGGTTTTTTGTTGCTAAGAGGGCAGTACAGAGGGTTTTGCTCCATGCACTTATTCCTTCTCCTGCTGTCTTTGGCTTCATCCCACGTGGTCTGCAGCCTCACACCATGCTCTGCTCATTGCATGGCTCTGCAATGTGGCATCTCTGATCACCCACAACTTGTTTCTTTGCTGTTTGGCTTTCAGGGCTTTTTTTGCAAGAAGACAAGTGAAAGCACACACACAGGCAAGGAACACGGCACAGCTGCATCTGGACAGGACGAATGGGGCTGGATGCAGAGCAAACGTCCCCAGCAGATTTCATGGGACGTTGCTGGGAGCTCAGCTGCACGCTTGCAGGGTGGATGACCATGCTGCATGCCCCTCAGCGGGTCCCTGCATCGGGGTAAACGGGGTAAACGTGAAACATTCATATTTGTAACAATTATTTCAGAGCAGCCCTTGAATCGGGGACACAAAACGGGGGGAACATAAAACACGGGGACAGAACCAGGGCTCAGCAAAAGCCGGCGTTCAAAGGGATGCCTTCGCTGGAGGAAAGTCCATTTCGCCCGCTTTTGTATAGGATGGAGGATTACACCAACAATACCCCATTGCAACGGGTGTGAAATCGTGCTAATAGCCCGCGAGCCGGGGAGCTGCTCGCACACCGGCATATTGATTGCAGTGCTTTGTATCTGCGAGCGCCAGTGGCCACATTTTGTCACAACCTGTGGGGGGTTTGGAGGAGCGTTTCAATGCGGCAAGCTCAAGTTTCAAGAGCGGTGTGAGAAGGCAGGGAAAAGAGGAAAGAACAATTGTTTGAGGGGATGGATGAGCCCGCGTCTGGGAAGCGTGGGCTTTACGGCATTGCGTTTGCAGGATTTGCTCTTATTTAAAACAGCAGAGCTTGGGCAGAGTGGGGGCTGTGGGCACCCGCCCCTGCTGAAGTGCTGTCCCATGCCTTGCGGGGCTCCAGGAACCCCCTGCAGAGCGCCCTGTGGATGGGGAGTTCTGCTCCCACCTCCTGTCCTGGCCAAAGAGGGGACTTCAGAACTCTGTTGAGCAGAAAAGTAGATTTCCTGTTTTATCATTCTGTCTTCATCTGGAGGGGGGAAGCGGTTGGTGCAGGGCTCGGTGCTGCCCGTCTGGGGGAGTGCTGGTTTGCAGACCCAGCGTCCAGTCCCAAATAGGGGATCTGCATCTCCTTGATGCACGGGAGTGAGAAAGCAGCTCTTGTAAACTGCAGACGCATCAGCACATCAGCAAGACTGTTTTGTGTCTGAGCTGGCAGGGGACAACTAGCACACTGTGAGGTTGGAACGGGGTGAGTTTTAAGGTCCTTTCCAACCCAAACCATTGTGTGATTTTATGATTCCGTGGTTCCATGATTCTGTGAGGCTTTTAGTGTCACCGGGAGGCTGGGGAAGCCGGAGGGACAAGGGCATGGAACTGGATGGGGACGAGAAACATCAGTGTGGTGGCTCAGCTGGGTGAGGGGGAGCAGGAGCACGTGGGTGCAGCAGGCAGAGGGGAAGGGGCCATGCCACCCCCCCCTGCCCCACGGAGGTACCTTTGCAGGCCTTGCGGTGGGAGATGGGCTTGCTGAGGTCGCGGTAGAAGCCCTCCTTGCAGTAGTGGCAGTGCCGCCCGGCCGTGTTGTGCCGGCAGTTGAGGCAGACGCCGCCGCTCTTTCTGCCCGACAGCTTGTACAGCTCCATGTTGAAGCGGCAGCGCCGCGCGTGCAGGTTGCAGTTGCAGGCTGTGGGAGCACAGAGCACAGCAGTACGTGGTCACACCACGCAGCACGTCCCCAGTGTCACCCGAGGGTGACAGCTGCCAACCCACACCCATCCCTGGGCACAGTGGGGCTCTGAGGACATCCCACTGCCAATTCCCCCAACCTGCCTGCCTCAGGTCTTCCATCACCCCCTTCCATCCCATCCCACTGTTCCCATTGCATGAGTCCCAACGCGCACATTTGAGCCCTATGCACCATTTCAAAACCTCCCCCATGCTCTCCTTTCCTGGCGTTCCTTGCCATGCAGCACGCAGCCCTCACCTCTCCATCTCCATCCTACCCACCGCAGCCAACCAGGCACCACAGCCCTCTCTAACAGAACGAAAAGCACTGTGGCCGACCCACTGGGAGGTGTCCCATGTCCCCCCTGCAGACCCCAGTGTCACCACTGCACCGCTTTTACACGGCGCTTTGGCAAAAGGCAACGGGAGGACTTCAAAAGCTCGACCCCGGGGCTGTCACGAGGCCGTCAGAAGGCGGTTGCTGTGCGCTTTGCAGGGTTTTACAGCTTGTTTTCTTTTCCCGTTGCTTTTGTTTGCTCTTTGCCCCTGAACAATGCAGCTGTGCAATGCCAGCCCGCAGCTGGGCCCCCCACGCGGCGCGAAGGTGTCACAGCTCTGCGCTTGTCACCTTCCTTTTGAACAGAGACATCTTAATCCCTCATTCCTTCCTGTTTACCTTATGGTGCTTGCCCAACACAAAGGCATGCGATATTTGCTTAATTATCAAATTTCAGCCCCGAAATTTACAGTGCAGTTCCGGGTTACTTATTGGGAACAATCCCCAGCTCGCTCCCAGTGCAAAGCTGTTGTGGGGAGCGCAGTCCTACAGCCACGTCTGCCCAGCAGGACGTTGAGCCACTCCCCTGCTTCCCCCATGCGACCCCAGTTCCTGCAGGGAGCAAACCAGGGCCCAACCTCACCTCCCACAGACCCTAATGATGCAGAGTGGTGCTAAAACACGATTCCTGATGCCACAGCTCTGAACTGTGGCTTGCATCCCCTTGGATGAGCACCCAGCCGAATCTGTACTTGGTCCTAGATGAACAACACGGAGATATTTCTCCAAGTGGTGGCATGGAAAAGAGCTCCTTCTTCCCCAAAGCTAGAAGACGTGAATATTCTCTAAACAGCCTGAATGCTCACCTCCTCCAACAAGTTGTGTCGTGTCCAAAGAGCTTTCACACTTTTTGGAAAATATGCACACTGGCTGGATTTGGGGAAGAAGGAACCCTTCTCTGAGCCATTTGTGTTGAAGGAAAGTTGGAGCTGGTTCTCCAGTATTTTGCAAGATGGCACTGGCATGTCCCTTTAAACGACTCAAAGTTGAGCCCACCCGGGGAGCGAGTGAAAATCTTTGCATTTCTTTGGGTTGCTCGATAAACAGAGATGTGTTTGCAAAGCCAGGACACAGCGCTCCCGGGGGTTTCTCAGGGTCTTTGCAAACATTTTGGCTGGTCCAGTGGGCAGAGTTGCATGGGAAGAGCAAGTGGGGTGCGTGGAGCTGCTCCCAGCCCAGGACAGTTTTTATGCTTCCAGGGATGCAAAAATCTTATGTCTGGAAGAGAGAAGAAGCTGGACCTCACAAGAGGCTGTGGGACCGTCTCTCCAATACCAGTGAACTGTGACACCAACAGCACAGCCGGCGCAGTCAGAGTTCCACCTGAGGCATTTGCTGGGCACCGGTCACTTCCTAACCCCACGCACTAGGATGCTTTCCATCAGCCCTTGCTGGGGATGAGGCTGGGACGAGTCACGGTGAGAACTGATGATGGGAACATGGGGTGCAGAGCTGGGATGAAGGCACTGGGGAAAGGCAAGACTGCAGGGCTCTCCTTGCCGAGGATCCATTGCCCGCTCTGCTAAAGCCTCTTGCCTGCTTTCAGACACCACTGGCCTGGCATTTGTTCCCAGCCACCGGGTTTGTTTCCCCACCGCAGTGATTCTTTGGCAATCCATCTTTTCTTTCTATGAACGACTTTGCCGGCTGCAATAAGGAGTCACCTCCCACTGTCAGCATCACCCCTGCTCCTCACGCCTTGTGTCTCACCCTGCAGAGGAGGTGATCCACGTCTGGTGGGGAGCAAACACCCAGTGCTGAGAGTTCCCAGTGCAAGGTTTTAGCTCCTGTTACTCAGATGAAGCTCAGTGCTCCTGTCTCCCGCTCCCTTCTTTCCCTTCGTTTGCCAATGATCTCCCCTGCCTTCATTATACACAGATGCACACAGGCCATCCCTGTGGCTGACCCCCATGAAATGAAACACTGATATTCACAAGCCTGAAGGAAGGTGGGCTGGAAAGGAGGAAAGCTGCAGTATGGAGCTGGTCAAAGCTTTGGGTGCTCTATCCCCAGAGGCTCCAAAGGACATAGATGGGCCCTGGGCATCCTGAGTTATGGGGGCAGCCGGCCCATGGCAGGGAGATAGAGCTCTATGATCTTTATAAGGTCCCTTCCAACCTAAGTCATTCAATAACTCTATGATTCTACAAAAACACAACTTAAGGACAAACAGTTCTATCACAGATGGCCAAGGTGTGCAGGATGTTCTCGTTGGGGCAATGGAAGATCTGTGGTTGGAGATGCAGGCTGGCGGTGTCCTTTGTGTTGCCACCATACCCCCATGCCCGTGTCCCCCTGGACGCATTCTTCCCTGTGGTTTTCATTCAGCAATGACAATGTGGCCCTTCCAAATCACCCCACCCTTCCAAACTTATATTTTGGCCATTTTCAAGATGAAAATTGCTTTTTAAGCAAACGAAAAACCCCACAACATTTTGTTTTAATTTTTGTGAACAATAATTTGGGGGGGGGAGGGCGGGAAGGATGGGAAAGGATAGAAGAAGCCAGGGGCTGAAAAGAATCTCTAAATTTGACTCAGTTTTATGAACAGTCTCAGTCTCCTCAAAATTATCCTTTTCCCAGATGAGTTTATTTTATTTTATTTTATTTTCACAAAAGAATCTGCTAGTTCAGTCTGAGCCATTATTTCTCTCCTGCAGGAGCAAGCCTCACATACTTCATACAACAAGGGCCATGCTGTCTATGTTTTAAGCCCCTGGAGACCTGCAGGCATTTGGGGGATCCTTTTTTCGGGTCCATATTTGGTTGAACGCTGGCACAGGCTGCCCAGGGAGAAGGGGGGGTCATCTTCTCTGGAGGTGTTTGAGAGCCGTGGAAATGTGGCACAGAGGAACGTGGTTTAATGGGCATGGTGAGGGTGGGTTGGGGATCTTAGAGGTCTTTTCCAACCTGAGTGATTCTATGAGTCGATGGGTAGACGAAGCAGCCACACTTGAATCTAAGAGCAGGCATGACGGGGTTGGAGCACTTGGAGCCAATGGAGTGGGGTGGGAAGGTCCCTGGTGCCCTGTGGCACCCTATGTGTGTGCTACGCCTGAGCGAGGAGGAGGGTGGGAACTCACTTTGTTAGCTAGGGGCGGCCCAACGAAGGGGAAACCCACGGGATGCTGCGGCCACGAGGGAGACATGAGGTCTGTGCAGGATCCCAGGTTTTCCTGACTGTCAGCCCAAGGAGATGGATAACAGAACCACAAAACACACAGCCACAAACACGGCCGGCAGCTGAAGCTTGCTCACAGCAACACGTCCCAGCCCCACAGCCACACCGATAAGAGCTTTGTTTGCTCTCACATACAAAAATGCCAAACTCACTGTTTGGGCTTAAATATTTGAGACTGGGTGTCTGACTCAGGCTGAATGGTTTTGGAAGAGTTCCTGCTAAAATGATTCAGCTGCTAAGGAGAAGCGAGTGAAAAATACAGCACAGTGCCAACGCTAACAAGTTTGGGGATTTCTTTCCTTAAAGAAAATCTGTTGCCCTTATGGTTGAGGCCAAGGCTTAAAAAGAAAAACATCGCTCCCTGGTAGGGATGGGTCTTGTGCTGTCTCTAGGAAGAACTGCGCAAATTTAGTTGAATTTGTCACTGAAATAGGACTAAGTCCAATTTGAATTTGAATAAGCCATTGAAAAATGGGGGAAACGTTCTGTGTGAAATGGCATAAAGGTTGACAGGGTGCCCGAAGATCTCTCTTGCAGTGGTCAACCCAAGCTCAGGAGCAAGGGCCAGCACCCAGCTCCCAGCTCACACACCGGCTGCCAGTGGGAGCATCAGAACACTTGGCAAAGCCCAGCAACCCTGAAAAACATCCACAATGGCTGTGGTCTCTGGCACGTCCTTTTGGGAGTAAATAGAAACTCCAAAGCTTCTCAAAGCCCAGAAGGAGAAAGACCCTTCCCATCAGATCAGCTGCTGAAGGTCGCTTTGCCAGCACTCAGTGTTATCGCCTGCCTGCAGTGCCACAAGGCACAGAGCCCGTTCTGGCAGCACTGGGCTCTGCTGCGACTTGACTGCAGTGCGACCTCATCCCTTCTCATTTCAGGCAAGATTTGTCCATAACTGCTGCACACTGATTCCTTCCAGGCTGACCTGAAGCACCGGCGTCTCAGCAGGTATTTCCTGCTGCTCGTGTTCCCCCTCACAAAGCACCACAAGCAGAGCGAGACGTACCTCTGGGAGCTGTGCTGCTCGGGTTAGGAGCCAGATCTGCCCAAGCTGTGAGCAGCAGAGGTCTCCCCACTGCACACGTGGCGAGCAGCTGCTGGCAGTGATGCATCCCACCGCTCTGTGTCTTCCTGCCCGAACCCTCAGGGACATCCCCAGTGACCTCCAGTGGCCCCTTCAGAGCAGCGAGGATGGATGGAAACCTGTGGGCCTGCCGTGTGGCACTGACATGTTGAGATGTGTGGCAGCTCCTCACCCGCAGCGTTTTAGCCCAAGACAAAGGCGCTCTTACTCAACACAGGATGCGGATGACAGCGAGCTGAGCCCTGGTGCAGCACACAGTGCACAGAGTGACTGGAGATGGGCTGAAAATCTCCCCTGCTTCTTCCAGCCTGGGGTTGGCTGCTCTTCAACTGAGATGCTCATGAACAAAGCTGC